CCCCAAAACCCCAAAACCCCAAAACCCCAAAACCCCGGGGGTGTGGTGGATGATTGAGAGGATTTTTAGGGTGGGATTTGGGTTATTGGAGTTGGGTATGGGTGAGGAGGAGGGGTTTAGAGCATTTGAATGTTCTGGACCTTCCTTTGAATGACATATCTGCGATTCTGTTGTCTTTTACCATGTTATAGTAGTGTTTGCTTATTAATTTTTCTTCGGTAAGGTATTTTAGAATGCTTCTATAGAGATTTTTCCTTAATGTTGTTTTTTCTAAGACTTTTATGGTAGCCCATTTAATATTGAGTTTTAAATACAGTTCAGCCAAAATATCAAAATTAGGAGACATGTGGGTAATTGCTGTTTCTAGGAATGTTTTGTTAAAACAGTTCTTGGAAAATTTCTTTGTATTTTTGATCAACCATTCTGCAAGTTTGATTTCATTTTGTGAGAATTCTGTTTCTAGCAAAGCCAAATCATATAGCATCGGCCATTCTGTCTGTGAATTACATAGCTCTATCATTTGTTTAGGGTAATCTTCTATCATTTTAAGAATTTCACTAGATAAATTGTATCTCATTGCGAGGTTAATAATGCTCTCTTTCTTGAGAGAAGTATTGAAAGCGTAATATAATGGGAATAAGCTTTTGCCTGAAGTATCAACGTATCTCTCCTTAAGAATTTCCCATATTATTTTGCAGCTGGTAGATATAGTTGAAGAATGAGCATTGAATTCAATCATTTTCTTAAAATTGAAATCTCTAACACTCGATAAACGATCAATTTCTCTATCAATAATTCTACAATTTATGAATTTGGCTTTAATTTGAGTAACAATATCAATCAGTTGTTTCTTATAAAACTTGGCAACCTCAATTTCCTCCTCACTCATATTCTCTACATCCACTCCTATCAACAACCTCTCCTCTCCCTCCTCTTCCTTCTCTTCCTCCTCTTCACTTATCCTATTCCCCATATTACCTAAATTTTACTTTTTTATCAGTTTCTTTCCCCCTAAAAGGGGTTTTGGGGTTTTGGGGTTTTGGGG